TAAGAAATGAATGAACTGATTATTTCATGTTGTTTTTATAGGCAATCATTTAAGCTTTGTTATTCCAGGTTTAATATGTGCAATAAGTTCATTTCAATAAGTCTTGCAATAAACATTGAACCGGTCCGGCCCTCGACTTGTACCCATTTTTTTTATTTTGGCCCACTGTGTATTTGAGTTTGACCCCCCTGACTTACAACAGAAAACCCTAAGTCCTTCGTCATTGTTTAAAAAATGACTTCAACAACCTGTTGATGCAAACCGTTGATTTTCTGTTGATCAACTTATTATTTCATCAGCAGTTTTTTCTTTATAATAAGTTAAAGGTGGGGTAGGTAAAACCAGCTCGAGTGCGCTAGAATTTGAAAATACACAGCCGGAAAAAATCTACCACTTCCTTCCAGAGCCCCTCCTCCAACACACACGAACGCGCACATGACCAATGAGGGCACGAGATAAGTTTGTGCACAGATGGAAGGCTGACAGGCAGGTAGGCCATCCAGTTACTTTAGCCGGCTCAGATGATTGGTCGTGCTTTTTACAGTACCACGGCTTCCACAGATGATATTTTTTAATTTATCTTTTGTCAAAGCACTTCAGATATTCATTGCTATCGGGATGTTAAGAGCATTCCATGGAATATAACAACAAGTGTATCTCGAGCCGGTTTCTCAAACTTACCTACCCCACCTTTAAGTAACCATCTCTGTGCTCACAAATTCCTATCTAGTTTAAATATACTTTAGTCAGTGGGAACTAATGTATTGTTTGGGTCTTTTCCTTGGATGTCTTGTAAGTAAATGACCTAGATACTTGTTTGGCTGAATTGTGAATGCATGAACAAAGTGGACTTGCACAGAATCCTCAAGGTTTCAGTCAATTTCTTACATTTTATTACTGTTGCACCATTTATACAAGTACATATAATTTTGAATGCATCAATTTCCATATCATCTTTTTGTTTTGTTTGTGGCGTGGAAATAGCAGGTGGTGAGACATGGAATGGAAATATCAACTGGAGTTGCGATGGATGCAGAAAACTGAGAAATTAGTACTTTTTTTTTTCCACTTGACCAAAAAGACAGGACTACAGGTTCACCCAACCACGGACATGCAATTTACTGAGTCAAGAGAGGAAGAAAAAGCTGAGCCGAGTGACACGCAACGCTCCTCCAGTTTGAGCTTCTGCTACGGTTTGACGAGTGCTGGGAGGACGTGTTGGGCGTCAGTCGCAGGAAACAGAGAAACTGGCAAATGGAAAGCTGGGATGGATAAATATATAGATATATACTGACATATAGAGGCAAAGGTGGACATTACAAAAGTCTATTTACTCAAACACTGAAGTTAAGACCATTTAAAAGGTGCTTTCTTGACTGTTTTCAATTCGGAGTACTCCAATTTAGAAAATGAAGTTCTTCCATCTATCATGATCACTGATATGTCCTGTCCTTCAATCTCTCCTTTCCGCCTTGCCACCTTCCTTTCTTGTTTACATATTTCACTATTGCTTTATTGCAGTTTTCCTTGTTTCTATACCTCCTTTCTTTCGGCTTATATAAAAGCTTCCTTCCTATCTGCCAAAAGCACGACGATGGTCAACTCTCTTCTCCACTTTCAGTACTTTCCCCTTGGAAACGTTAGCACGTAAGAAAATGCAGGACTACCACGGAGTGTTTCTTACCCACATTGCTTCCACTTGAGTAAAATAGGTAAATACCTTTGTTCCACCGCTGCATTTACATATATGCCGTATATATTGAATGAGAAATGAGAAATCAGAGGCTCCCTTTTCATGTGCAAGAGTTTTCCATCCCGTTGTGATAGCATGGCGTTTCCACGGGACCAAAGAAGATCAGGTTAATGACGACTCAGGTCATTCGCAGAAACCCCCCCTCTGGTCCTCCTTGAGTTTACGGAGATACACTGATACACCAACCTCGGACGAACAACACAATCTGTGATCTGGACCGCAGGTGTTTTCAGCCGCTTGGATACCAAACTGGTGAGGTTTGCACCGCAGATGTTCCTGCTGTCATCTACAGGAAGCTTCAAAGGCTATATGCCAAAGTTACGTGAATGGGTTTACTGATTGACGATTGGTTAATCCAGACGATCAACAGAAATAAATAGCTTATGTAATTTTAAAAAATCCAGAAATTGGGATTGTTGTTGGGGGTCTTTCCTCTAGTTTGTGGTAAGTCCATGTTAACACTTTCCATCTCTGCCCAGTATTAATATGGTTTCACAATATACTTTAACTCCAGATAAGTATATTTAGCTGGAGTTAAGAAGAATGTAGAACTTTTACTTAACGGTCCAGAAACTCAAGTCAATCCCAGAAAAAGCGGTTAACTCCTGACATCTCCTGATATTTCAATAAACCTCACCAGCTTGTTATCCTAAGCTCGATCAAACTAACGCTAGGCGAGATTTTCAAATGTCTCCCAGGTCCCAAAACATATCTGTCTTGCCTAGTACCGTGATCACATTTGTCATCAGATTTGGACGAAGAGTCAGAGAAGTCTATCGGACTTTCTAAGAACACGCTGGAGATCTTTGAAAAGGAGGCTTTGCAGAATTTATAAGTGTATTACAAATGTTAAAAAACCACTTAGTTTGCTTACAATATACCTAAGGGTTTCAGTACAAAATCTAGAAGTTTATCTGAAACTTTTTTTTATACGTCTAAGAATGTGTTTGGTTCTGCAAAGCCGGACTTCTTCAACCTCCAAAATGTCTCAGGAAGGCTTAGCTTTCTCAGTCCTCACAACAGATTGAAACTCATCAGTTGTTGCCGTATAGAGACCCAACACAGCCCAAGAATACCTAAAAGTACACGGTTACAACTCCCAAGAAAGACTGGAGGTACCAGGACAAGACGGAGAGTAGGATACTCAGAAGAGGAGGGTAAGTGGACCGATTCAATGGAAGTCCAGCTGGTGAAGACATTTCTCAAACCCCCTCCTTCCTTCAGTCCCATGTCCTCACAAGTAGCCGTTCTGATGTCCTCAGAGCGGGGGGTAAGCCTCTTGCCTTCAGGAGGGAGACGATGATGAAGGTGGGATGGCGAGGCGAATGGCCGACACAAACTCGTATCAAAGTTCAAATACTAAAGCAGAAAAAAATAGAATAAAACGTAACAATAATAATAGCAATTATAATCTGCAGCGAGGGGCNGGGGGGGGGTGGAGTTCTCCAGGTAGCTGCTCAGTTTCATCAAATTATTACCATTACGACTACTATTATTATTATTATTGTTAATATCATAATATGGGTGGTGGGCTAGTACATTTCCTTTTTTTTTTTTTTATCTTCATGGTTGAGTTAGGTACTTTTTATGTTATTTCCGAAAAGAAGCTGTCCATTAATCTTGAACTGCTACGGTTTGATCCTTGCTTGGTGCCTCCGTGGCGTTGGCCTCTTTGACGGGGGTCTCGCTGGCGGCTGGTGTTGAACTAGGTGCTGCGGCGGCGGCGGCGGCGGGCTCTTTTCCCGCCTCTGTTGGCTCGGGGGAGGCAGCGATGGCCGCCTCTGCTTTGGCTGCTGGAGCCGCGGGGGCCTCAGTCTTTTTGGCGTCGGCCTCTTCTTTAACCTCGGGTTTCGCCCCCTTGGCCTCGGGCTCCTTGGCGGGGGCAGGGTCTGACTCTTTGACCGCGGGCTTCTCCTCGGCCTTGGCGGGCTCTTCGCTCTTCGGCGCCTCTGTTTTCGGCGCCTCTGTTTTCGGCTCGGCGTTGGCGGCAGGTTTCTCCGGCTCCTTTACAGCGGGGGTGGCGTTCTTCTCCTCTTTCTTCTCCTCCTTCTTCTCCTCCTTCTTCTCCTCTTTCTTCTCCTCCTTCTTGTCTTCCTCCTTGGCCGCCGCCGTGTCGTTCGCTACCTCCTTGGAGTCGCTGGCGGCCGACACCTCGTCTTTGTTGTCCTTCGGCGCCTCGCTCTCCTCTACAGACGCCCCCTCGGCCGGGGCGTCCTTGTCTTTGGCCTTGTCATCGTTTACGTTGTATCCCTTCTTCTTTTTGCTGAGCTTGCCTCCCATTTTGGATGTCTGGCCTCTGAAACAGAAGGGGACACACATTGGTTTTAGTACAAGATAAGATAAGAAGTACTTTGTTGATTCCAATCTGGGAAAGGTTTGTGTTGCAGCAGCAAAAAAAGAAATGGCATTGTACGACACAAATTAAAAGATTAGAAATAAACAAGAAAGTAGAAAGTATACTTGTTGAATTAGAAACGCACCGTATGATATTCACTCATTCATTGAGGAGAGAGTCAGGGCTCATACACTTTTTCACTAATGATTTTCAATGACTTCTCCAGGACCTTTACCTAATTTTCCAT